TATATTCTTAGACACAGGACACAGAGGAAATTTAATATTTCTATCTACGACCTCATTCGCAGAGGAGACTAAGAAGATAAAATAGAATTGTTCTCATAAGAATTAGTGATATTTTCTTTTTAATGTTACAACTATGTTTTTTTATACAACAGCAATGATCGCTTAAAGGAAACAGCATGTCTTTTAAAAGAGTTAACGAGAAGGCTTTAAGGGTTAATGAGAATACCACAGACATTTCATTTATTAGTCATACTAAGCACCTGTCCATTTCATCGCATCTAAAGTCTCTGGTTTTCACATCTGTGCGAACAAATCTCAAGACGCCTAGTCCTGGTTGAAAGTGTCTTATTTTGGAATCCACTTTTAGAGTTTATTTATAGTTCGTGGTGTTTGCGTTTCCAATGAAATGTTTGTGTAAGCTCGCGAGGCCTAGATAATAGAGAATGTAAGTTTATCTTGTGAAGAATGGTACTGCAGATATATACCCCCTTGTCGTTCTCCATTGGTACAGCTTACATGTGGTTGCCAAATTAAACCATGCGAAACAAATACGAAGAACGCTGTTTGTCTCTTTGTTGTTTGTTTATCTCTGTCTTTTACGCCGTCCTCAGCAATAATACATCTTTTTGACTACGATCACGGACCAGACCAACTAGTGATTGATATTATGAACAACGATCCACGCAGTCTGGATACGCTGACACGTTATCAACAACGTCATAGAGTCATCCTATCCATTGAATCACCTCGTCCTGGCTTAAGCTGGCTTAAGCTACTGAGGACCAATTCTAATCTGCAATCACCCCGATAATATATTTACAAAACTGTTCCATGGAGGCGGGACTAACACTTATGCTGTATAAGAATAAGCATTCATATGATACCAGTAAAACAGAACATTATCATCACATTTCTCACCAGCCGATCTATAATTTAAATGCCCACCTTTTTCAGATACACATTGGACGTCAGTTACATGACTAAGGCTGAACTTGGTTAAAAACTATGATCGCTCATACACATACACACGGCAGAAAGTTTTATGAAAAACTCCATATCACAATACACCATTACAAATCCACCTGTCCTTTTAATCCGTTCAAATATGTAAAGAATGTTTAAAAAATGACATTAGCATTCAATAGATTACACAAAAGCAATGGCGTCATTCAAAACGAATGCTTCATATCAAAGTATGCACATGTCGTTGTTCAGACACGGGGTTTGGTACTGCTTTTGTCATATGATATATCTACAGCGCAATTATATCTTATCAAATACTCATTTAGTCGTATAACAAATCCTACATACCGTATATCCATGGCACAAAACTCTACCCGTTGTACCGGTATAAAGGTACCTAAATCTTAACCAATAAAATGACACTAAATTTCTGGGTTACGGTGTTCACATTACAAGGGCGGAGACGCTTGGCAGTGCAACAAAACGGAAATAATAGCAAGAAAAGCATTCAAATACTGGCCCCACAAGTCATAATGGGAATGCCAATAAGGTAGAGACTTATTATTCGAGGTCCTATTCGATACGAATGCAACGTTAATGAATAGTGATAGCAGGCTTAGTACGTGCTAGGCAAGATTAAGCGACTGACCTATTCTGAATACGTTTATTGGGAGCAGTAGTAATAATATTTTCACCGTCACAGTTCGCTGAGGGCAAAGCTATGGCGGCCTTTCGGACAGCTATGATTGATGTTGTGCCTCGGCATGGCGGTTGGAGGTACTGCAACAGGCGGTCGAGATTGTGGCAGTCATGTACGTCACACGATTGAGTGTTCTTAATTATTTGAATAAACAAGTGTCAATGGACTGCATGCTGGTTTGAGAGTTAACTACTTGAAAGAACGTCGTAAAAACTACTTCAATTGAATATTTTTGTTTACAAGGCACACAACACATAGTAAGTACTGGCGACAGCGTTTGTAGATTTCAATTATATTTGTATTATGTGTTTTAATCAATACTTTCTCATTGGCAATATATTTCATTCGATCTACGTCATTATTTCCATTGGCATAGATAAAGTGTTATCGTTATTCAACATCTAAAATTATGTTTATTGGTAAATATTAGTTGGCCTTTTTTATTTATTACGATACAACAGTACAATAAACTGATGTCATTGACAATTACATCTGAGGGAGTGTTCTAACGACAACTGCCTGTTGTCATAACGACTGGTACTGAGATACGGCATCAGGGGTATTGATATATCTGGGATTGAACGATTTATGAAGTGAATCGTCATTCGTTGACTTTGTACACGACAACCATAAACATATAATTATAAAGAAACACCAGACAGAACAGAGACCAGACATTTTGGAAAATTACTACCGGCATTGCACGTTTTAAGCCCTTGGCTAAATAACGGATTTTGCCTAGTTAAGTTAAAATGTAATTCAAATTTAAGCCCAGGGCTTCAAAACGAAAAAGGACGAAACTATGATGAAGAATGAATATCCCATGTGTAATGAAACAATACTAACAAAAGGAATGAGAGAGCAAAACAATAACATAAGACATGATATATTTTTCAACAATCATGAGTCAAGAACACGTTCAAAATTGATTTGATAATTGTCAAAAAAGTAACAACAAACCAGCATCGCAGTATGCTATATGCGATTAAAATGTCACACTGAATATCCAGAATATCACCTACATTAAGGGTCCAATGTGCCTTGTACTTGTGGACACCTCTAAAGGCATATAATCTGGTTGGTTGGTTGGTTTGTTGTTTAGCGCCGCACACAGCAATATTCCAGCTATATGACAGCGGTCTGTAAAAAATCGAGTCTGGACCAGACAATCCAGTGATAATAATGGTGCAAAGTGGTGCAATGCAAGCGTGCTACAACGCATGTTGAAGAATATCCAGTACGGGACATGAACCAATTTTTCAAACTAATTGAGCCCGTGGGCTTAAAAGCGTTTTATTTTTCTGTTTTAATCTCATGGGCAATATAACGAGGAGGCTTAAATACGTACAGTCCCGGTAGCAGTTTGTAGTGAAGTCGTATCCCTCATATACTTGTGAGGCATCTTAATGATATCATACATTCATACTAACAACTAATTTTACTGTAGGCTGTACCTGTTTCCCCTTGCGAGATCGTTAATGTGTAATGATGCGACGCTTTGATTTATATATGATTATATTAACCATATGTTGCATTCTCTTGATATTGATTTTTAAAAATGCTGTAAATATGAATGCATCATGTGCACTGAGTTATCCGCGGAATATTTCATAAAGAAACAACAGAAGAGTGTATGATTCAAACGCGTGTGTCAACGACAGATGTTCGTGTTAAAACTTTGATAAAAGTGTCAATATTTGAATTTATAACGTACGGAATAACCCTTTTACATAGCCAACACACAGTTAGCGAGTACCGTGATTCAGGTTCGACATCTTTGATGATTACGTAGGATGAAACATGATTTCATTCTCCGCGGGCTAACATAAAACAGGAGTAAAACTTAGATAAATCTGATTGATGATAATTACATTTTGATAAAAAAAAACACGTCTGTCGCCTTCAATCATTTCGGACGCAAAAAGGCACGTTATTTATCAGATACAACACTTGCTTACGAAATAGCTGCTCGTGTCATGTACATCAACATCCACGTTATTTCAAGCCATTTAAAAAATGGTTCTATTTTTCACACGTAGGTTACTTTATCTATCCATAATGTTACGCAACGCCATCTCCGCAGTGAACGGTAAAAATATCAAACGCACGACAACTATTTATTTCAGCATCAATGCTAACCATATCGCAAAGTCGCTTCTATCTGCATTACATGTGTTATTGTTAATATACAAATGATCTCATTCCTTTCGACGTGGCCACTAATGTTGTATACATTGCCTCGATAAATAAGCTCTTTGAGATATCAGGAAAGCGTTTTCGTGATTGCCTTTCACAGTGCCAGTCTCTTCATCAGCTCTTCAAACGTGGAGTATGAAAAGCACTTAAAAGTATTTTGGAAAATCAGAAACGGCAAAAACTTAACTGGCAACGTTTTATAGCTTTGTTGATAAACACGATCAGTTGGCACTGTCCGAGTCACGTAGATATACGAGTAGGTACACATTAGCTTATGCCTGGAGATAACACACACATATAAACATTGCGTAAATATAGGCAGCAGAAACAAAGCGAGGTCGATGTTTATCGGTGCCTCAATATACAAGTGCATCTTTACCATGTTCAGATAGATTCACGTTTGGTTCCAAACACGGTTCACGGGCGAGATAACGTCTTGGCATTATTCAAACATGAACATTTCTTAATAATTTCTTATGATCGAATAATATCTTTCATTGAAGACATGTATGTGATAAGTTCTGACACTTGCATAAAAGCATATTGACCTGACGTAATAACTGATATTAATCTGTTCATAATGTGCATGCACTTTACTCACATATATATACATACTCGTATACGTTTATGTAGGTATTTACGATATACATAGAACACATGTAATATACATAAACACCTAATGACAGGACTGTGTCGTCTAATTGGAATCGTAATCATGAAATTATGCATCAGGAAGTTTTGGATCCCAATTATCATACTCCATTTTCGGATATTTTAATATATTAGTGTATATAATTATTTTGGATGACACAGTTAAGGTGGCTGTGGGAGCACACAGAAATAATAGCTGGTCGTTAAAATATTTAGCCTTGTTGTGTATGTGTCGTTGGTGATGTGACAAGCCGAGAGTTGATGTTGATATGTGGGACATTAATCACGCACGATCCCACGACCCGAAACAGGAATGACACTCCGGAAGCAAAGTCACAACACACGCAGATGGTACACACAGATAAGGGTCTCCTTGTCTCACGTCGTGAATGCGATAAGACTACACTATTCCTATACATGCATAGCGAAAACAGACGTGAATGGAATATCGTTGAGGCAGGTGAATAATACATGTTCTAAATAGACCTACCTCGGTTTTTTCAAGCAGACGACGCACTTATCTTGCCCCGGCGTAGGTTTGTGTCTGCTCAACTGTCCCTTCGGGCTAGCTGTCGTCTGCTTCTTCTCGTTTGCTCAATTCACACGCCCTGCCATGACAACGGACGCTAGATTTTGTCAATTTCTGTACTTCCTATCCAAACTTACTTCTCCTTTTGCCCCGCGTGGCGGTGCACAGCTAGCAGACGAGAAACGGTCGAGCCTTCTGTTTGGGATCGGAAACTTCTCCGGTTGAAATTGGGTTCGGCCCGTGAGAGTAACTTGCCCAAGCAAATGTAAACACATATGCCTGTGTTATGAGAGTGTTGTCGGCGGCTGTCTTATCGCAGGTCGGTGTACGGCTGAGCACGTGAAAACACAGTCTGGTGTCGGATCGATGGGGCAGTGAGGACGGCAGATGCGTTACCGACAACAACGCCCCTACACGCGATGTTGTCGTGAAGCCACCACGTCGACGACGTCACAGTCACCTTATGTGACATGACAGTATCATTTACAGTGCTCTCAGTGCGTATGGTGATTGATTTTGGGAGGGGTTTCCGTTCATTGAAAATATTACTGTTGCTGCTTTTGAAAATGCTCTATCTGTCAATATCGAAATATGCATAGGCGGTATTTACATTACGTCAATCTCATATAAACATGGCTAATATTCATTTAGACGGGGAACAGGTTGCATCATGTTACAAGTTTCCTCAACCGTTCTGTTATCACTAATATTCATTACGTTGATGACAATAGGAGTAATGCCATTTCATGAAATAAGTTATGTATTTTATAGATGTATTACAAATTGACATTCAAATGGCCCCATTGAGATAATTGTATTGGTCGCATGGAGATTCATCTTGTGCGTAATGACGTTTCATTGTGGCCAGAACATACCCCATGGACTGAGCGAGCTGTATAATACCACTCTCTATTATATATGCACATATGTGATATATTTGTGAAAAGTTAATGTCTACCATGGATCAAGACGTGAAAGCCTTAAGGGTATTCACAAGAGAGTCTATGTCACAAACAAGAAACGCCCAAAAGGGGAGCAAAAGCGAGGCCCACTCAATCGTGTCCACTTGCAAGTTCAATGAGGACACGAGGTGATGTCGAACTGGGTGCCCATGCCCTACCATGCCCTACCATGCCCTACTACCCGTTGTACGTGAAGTTAGATGTAATTGTGTTGGCCCCAGATGGCATTTTATAGGTAGACGATTCCGGTAGATTCAGCTGAGTTATAATATATGTATAACCATTTGGTGATTCCAAACTATATTTTCAAGTTACGGAAAATAAACTGCTAAATCCGTTAACGTTGGTCGGCACAGATGATGCGTTCATAGAACCATGTTTGTTTGTTTGTTTGTTTGTTTGTTTGTTTGTTTGACGGCGAACTGTAAATAATCGTGTCTGGACCAGACAATCCAGTAATCGATATTGTGAGCAACGATCCCCGCCGTCGGGTACGCTGACACGCTATCAACTAACTCAACGAGCCCGATCAACCCATCCATTTAGTCGCCTCTTATGGTCAGCATAGGGTGCCGGAGACCAATTCTTACCCAGAATCCCGACGAGTGACTAGAACCAAGAAATTAGTGACAACATTTCAGTATTCAATCAATCGTTATTCATAATGACTTACTGAGTGAGTGAGTATGTTTTTACGCCACTTTTTGTAATATTCAAGCAATATCACGGTGGGGGATACCAGAAACGGGCTTCACATATAGTACCCATGTTGGGAAGCGAACCCAGATCTTCGGCGTGACGAGTGAATGCTTTAACCACTTGCCCCCCCCCCCCCCCCCCCCCCCCCCCCCCCTCAACACACACACACCCCTCCTCCCATAATGATGTTGAAATAGACATGTATGCACAGAAGCTCGTCTACTCGTGTAAATGTGTATATTTCTCATTATTTGAGTTCAGTTGCCATTACTACATAGAGTCAAAAGAGATCAGTGGGAAAACGTATGGACAAGTAACAGTTGATATTCTATATTATCCCGAAAAGAAAACATGATTTTTCATTGGACAATAACACAAGGACTTGTCGGTTCGGAGTCAGTATACAGTGGGTGAGTGTGGTTTCCATGTTAAACTGCGGATGACTGTAAAACCATTCAAACAGCATCGGTCCAGCATGCCGCACGAGAGCTGTGTATCACTCTTTGATAATTCATAAACACAACCATGCTTTAGATGTAGTCTGAATCGTACAATGAATGTAGCTTTCACTACAGATTTTTTTATAGTAATGGAAAGGGTTTTGTCGCTTTTATTATTCAGTGTCTGCGTTAACCTTACGTCCTTTTAAGTAATGTCCGGGAATAAATAGAAGTTACTTCACCTTCAGTCTCCAGTTTCTATTTCTACCATCTATCTTCCCAATCAACTCCTGACAGATAACGGGCCGTGAAGGGAAAGCTGTTTCAAGCGGAACGGACAACATAATCTTATGTAGATGATATAAATACCTAGTATATCAACCCTGAGAAGTTAGTAATCAAAGAAAGAATGTTCAGTCAGACAACAGTTAAACTCCAACTCTAACTGCAATGGTTGTTCCGTCCACTGCTTGTACACTACTTTTTTGTTCAATTTGTTTTTTAAAGTCAATAAATCCCTGCAGGTACAAATGTATTGTCTCTTATCTTAACCTTTTCGATATATTTGCAAATGTGTCATTTGGTGAATGAGTATGGTTTTACGCCGCTTTTAGCAATATTCCAGCAATGTCACGTCGGGGAACACCAGAAATGGGCTTCACACATTGTACCCATGTTGGGAATCGAACCCGGGTCTTCGGCGTGACGGGAGCACGGGTGGCCCAGTCATCTAAGGCGCCGCGATTCGCTGTGCAGAGTTGCGTCCCGTGGACACGCCAGAAACCTATGATTGTGGGTTCGAATCCCGGTTCGCCCCGATTTATGTTTCTAGGTTTGTCAGCACCATACCCGTGCTCGTGGGTTTCACCGAAGTGATAAACGCCTGAGACCTGCATCACTTCGGGCTTTCATCCCACATTAAGCTGACACGCCGCGATACAACTGGAATACTGTTAAAAGCGGCGTTAAACACAACTCACTCACTCACTCACTTCGGCGTGACGAGCGAACGCTTTAACAACTAGGCTACCCGACCGCCCCTCATTGGACTGTTATATGCAAGCAATGTTAAGTGGAGCAATTTGTTGACTGTAGGCGAACTACATAAGGCTCTATCTACAATATTAACACATGAGGCGGTCTCACTGGTCCCCTTTATATCATTTGGGTAAATACGTGGAAGGGAATTGGCTATTTGATAGTTGTCACCGGGTCGTAAAATCAATCTAGTCACGGTTTAGTGACCGCTTCCCTCTCTCTTAGTTGCCCGGCGTCGCCAGCGTTCGGCAAAGTCAAGCGGTCGTCATACTATGGTGTCTGTTCGTTCATTGTTAAAGAATTGGTGACACGTATATTGTATTCCCTAGCTGTATAATCGCATAATTTTATCAAGCATTGATTCGATATATGTTATCTCGTATATGTACGCAAACTTATTCATGTATTGAAAATGTATTGTGAAAGTGTTTTTAGTTTAATATCGATAGTGAAGCCCTGAAGAACCCATTCACGGCAGCTTTCGTCATCGTTGTCGTCACAGCGCTTTCCACGAAGAAGGTGTTCTTTGAGTTTAGGAAACAGGTGGAAAACACTTGGTGCCAGGTCTGGCGTGTATGGAGGGTGAGGAAGCTCTTCGAACCCACATTGTCGCACAGAAGCATATGAAGGTGCATAGATCTCCAGCAGTCAGCATTCCTCGCCGAATTTCTGTGATAAAATCTCTCAGGCGATGAAGCAAATTAGCATACTAGGCACCGGTATTCGCCTTTTGACTTTCTAAATAATTAACAAGGATCACAACTTTCTTTACTGATCTTGAAGTGGAATGGTGCCATTCTATGGATTGACGTTTTGACTCATGACTCATGTTCCATCACCCGTTACTAACCTCTGTTGGAATTTGGCGAAATCCTCCTCAATTAGCTCCAAATTTTCTCTGGTAATGTCAGTTCTTTTTTCCTCAGAATTTAGAAACTTTGGCACCCAACGAGCAGATATCTTATTCATCTGTAAATGTTCATGAATAATAGTTTCAATGAATCCATGGCTTAGTCCTGTGTCTTGTTTATACGTGTAACTGACAGTATGCGTTTTTCTATCTCCTATGATTAAATCTTCACTGAAGGAAGTTGGGGGACGTCCAGACCTATGGTCATCATCATGGCTTGTTCTCCCAGCCTTAAACACAGCTGCCCAACGTTTAACAGTGGAATAACTAGGGCACTTATCCCCATACACTTGTGACATGCGGTCATGAATTTCTCTAAGGTGCAACACCTTATGACGGCTCGATTCCTTTCTATTTCTGTGTCTGTTTGGACCCCTATCAGGTTCAACTGGCTTTCACTAATATACAAACGGCCTCAGCAGACCATGTACACTCCTTTGTTTCACATTGTTAGTCGATTCCAACATTGAAATAAGTGATTGACGAAGTGACATGGGTTTAATGCCGCTGTCAACAGTATTCTAGTTATATCGCGACACGCCAGCTTAATGTGGAGGTGAGGGTGTGGTTTAATGAGGTTAAACGTCGCGTCCTAGATTATTGCACTTATATAGCGACATGCATGCACGCGTGTGTATGTGGCTGCTTTTACTACGACTAATGCCGATCTATAGTGCCAGCTCACTGAGATACCGTGACGCAGTTTCACATGAATACCCCACTCAGACACAGTATACTGAGTCCGAGCCGACCAGTCCTTGTTTTAGCCCCTTAATGCCGAGCGCCAGACAGGGTAACAAGTACCAACTTTTAACATCTTTTGGTATGACGCAGCCGGGGATCGAACCCCAGACCTTCCGCTCTCCTGGGGTACGCTCTACTACTAGACCACGGAGCCGGTCTGCTTAAAGTGGAGTGGAAAGCCTAAAATGATAGAGGTCTTAGACGTTTAACACTTTGGTGAAACTCAGGAGCATGGGCATGGTGCTGAGAAATCTAGAAACATACTCGGGGAGAACCGGGATTCAAACTCACGATCATAGGTTTCTGACATGTCCAAGGGAAGCAACTCTGCACAAAGAATTGCGGCGCCTACGACGACTGGGTAAACGTATAATGTAAATAAAAGCGCCAACACAATGTCAATAACTATAAGAAATACCTGCTAAAATCAGAGGACGTGGTACGATTCCGACCATTTCATAAGCATATGTTTATGAACCACTATCAAATAGTGATGACACCGGGTGTTCGTAAAACGGTGAGTGTATCATGCCCCACCGGTAGCACACGTCACAAACACATGCCAAGGTAAGTCAGTTGTGCACCTGAACAGACACGGAACATATGGTACAAGTCAAACTACAGAATTGCATCGGACATCATTTTTGTCCCTGATGCAA